CAAAAACGCATCGATTCGCTACAGGAGGCCTTTGTTCACCCCCCGGAGCCATGTGAGACACTTTTTTTTGTGGAAGGGTGCTTTTTTTTTCACGTCTTTTGGACAGAAGGAATGCAACACCCGCTGAGTACAACGATAGAGCTTGAAAGATCAAAGACAATTTAATATAACTCCGACTGGATTCGTCTGAAAGAAGAAAGTCATATACACCTAGGATGCATCGGGGTGAGTAAAACACAACCTAATTTTTATTTTTGGCTGAACTAACCCTTTAAGAGCCACGATCGAAAAAACTCTCCGAAACTTGTACGAACCCGGAAGTAAGATTTTTGGCACAGAAATACTCTGTCATACGTCCAAAAAGTTTTTTGAAACTTTGTCCATGCTTAGCATGAGTATCCAACTCTTTAACAGTGTAAACAACTCTGAATGCATGAAACAGCATTGTACCCCCCCCCCTTTAAGTAATGAAGCAGCATATTCATCCCAGCCTAAATTAATATTTAATCCACTTCCAGATTTTGTGCAGAGCGGCTGCGCTCACTGCTGAGGACGCTGGAGATCGCAGACATTGCTGACTTCTCAGCCATTACTTTGATCTCACACTTTGCCACACTTGTCAGCACTTACAGCAAAGGTAACAAAGCATCATTCTGCCCTCCTCCCATCATAAAGCTGTGGTCACATAAAATTTAATTCTGTGAATTTGCGCTGGAGAAATCCAGCAATTTCAAAGGAAATCTATATGATTAGGAATTTTGCATGTGAGCAAACAGTTTCCCTGTGCAGATTTTGCAGTGGGTTCAAGTTGGTAACAAGTTGGGGGGGGGGGTCTTGGATTTTTTTTGACCCGTGAAATTTTTCGGAAATTTCACTCATGTGACCACACCTTAGCACTGCTAATATCTCAGACTCCCCTCAATCTACTTATGATTTCCTGCAAAAGCGAGTTCTTATGTGTAATTGTTCTCTTTTAGGCTTTACCATCATCATTGAGCCCTTTGAAGATAGAACGCCAACAATAGCAAATCCTGTTCTTCACTTCAGGTGCATTAATTCTGCTCTAATACAGTTTCTCACGCATTTTCTATTAAATATCTTTTTAATTTAGTTTATTAGCTTTGTCACTAATTTTGGATTCTTTCTATGCAGTTGCATGGACCCCTCTATCGCCATAAAGCCAGTGTTTGGGCGCTTTCAATCAGTCATCATCACATCAGGGGTAAAATGTGCTCCTCAATCCATATGCCCCATCTTTCCATGAATACTAGATTACACACACACTGCTCACTAATCTCTTCATTGTAATCCCACTGTAACACTCATGCCATCTGTGTAAGACAAACTCCACTTTCACCTTAAAGCATGCAGGCCGCATTTAAAATGGGTTTGCTTTAGCTTGCTAATTTTAGTTTAATGGGGAACCTTTTATACAACATCTGTAGCCTTTACTTCTACTGTTATTGCAAAACACAAATGTTATTTACAATATCTTCTGCAGTTGTTTGTTTTAGAAGCTTCACTATTTTGAGTTAGCAAATATTTGATTTAGATCATTTTTGATTCTCTCTCTAAACAGACACTCTCTCCGCTGGACATCTACCCACGTATCCTTGATTTCCACCCAGTCACTACGGCATCCTTCACCATGACACTGGCACGAACCTGTCTGTGCCCTCTTGTGAGTTACGACTCGCAATGCCACCATTGTAGTTTACTATTTGAAGAAAGCAATTATGCAAATATTTACATATTTAATAGAGAGTTTCGAATGAAGATATACTGGGCTGGCATCTTTTAAAAACACATTAAATCAGTGATTTTCTGCTGACAAAGCTGCTTAAGGGAAACTGAGTATTTATATATTAAGTTTATTAACTATGTTTCATTGTGTGATTCCAGAAGTTTTAAGAAGCATATATATATATATATATATATATATATGTGTGTGTGTGTGTGTGTGTGTGTATTTTTAACCATTTTAAACTATTATATTTTTCCAACTTTCAGATTGTTGGCAGAGGGAATGATCAAGTAGCGATGACCTCCAAGTTTGAGACCAGAGAAGATTTTGGCGAGTTGTTTTGTTTTTGTTTGCATTATTCATTTTATTTTGCCAGTGCAGTTAAAGGATAACTTCTTTATTTAAAATACATCCCATAGCTGTGATCCGGAATTATGGAAACCTGCTGCTGGAAATGTCTGCCATCGTTCCTGATGGGATCGTTGCGTTCTTCACGAGTTACATATACATGGAGAACATTGTGGCTTCATGGTATGAACAGGTATGAAGAGACAACTTGATTCCTTCTCAAATCACTGAAAGTGCTGTTATGATAATCATAACTAATTCTCAACTCATTCTCTTGCTGGATTTGTAGGGCATCCTTGAGAACATCCAAAGAAACAAGCTCATTTTCATAGAAACCCAGGATGCAGCTGAGACCAGCATGGCCCTGGAGAAGTATCAAGAGGTCAATAAACATTGGGGTTTTAATGCTCCCTAATCCAAGTTTCTGTAATCGTGTTGAGTGATGTGGACTTTATTTTAGGTTCCCTGTGTTAAAGTAATCACTTTTGTTGTCTTTTACTTTCAGGCCTGTGAAAACGGCAGAGGAGCAATTCTGCTCTCAGTGGCAAGAGGGAAAGTGTCAGAGGGGATTGACTTTGGTGGATTCTACTTCCTTCAATTTTGAGCGTTCTTTATACAGGTTTTCTGCTGGTCTTAAGACTTAATTCACCCTGCCATAAATTAAGGCCTTAGAAAAGTTTTAAATTGGAGCAGAAAGTCTTACATTCATAAAGTCATGGCATTAAATGTTGCGTGTAAAAAAAAAAAAAGAATATCTTCCTCTGTATTTTTGTTCTTTTTTCCCCAGTACAAATATATAAACATTCTTAAATCAAGATAATTTTACTTGAGGTACAACATGAGAAGGAAGTTTATCTTTCTGATGTTATTGGCAGATATTTTTGTCTTGTTTTAAACAAATTTTTGTGTGCCCTTCCATTAAAAATGCCCTTCCAAAATTTTCTTTACTTAGTCTTAAAATTACTAAGTAAAACATGCAGAAAACTTGTTATAATTAGCAAATTCTTTAAAACAATTAAGTGTAAACATTTATTCATCAGTTTTTCTTTTCAACCCCAGTTCATCATTTTGGCCGTGCCGTTATCATGTTTGGAGTGCCGTACGTTTACACCCAGAGCCGAATCCTCAAGGTTTGTAGAACTTTTTCTCCCAGATCTCCAATACATTTCTAATTTATAAGATTTCCAATACATTCTGTAATGAAAATAAATACCCTGACCTGTTTGCTTGAATTAGGCACGGTTGGAATACCTCAGAGATCAGTTTCAAATCCGGGAAAATGACTTTCTGACGTTTGATGCGATGCGCCATGCGGCTCAGTGTGTGGGCAGAGCCATCCGAGGCAAAACAGACTACGGCCTGATGATCTTTGCAGATAAGGTAAGTAAACTGATGAGAAGGTAGCATGATTTTTTTCCCCTAAGTTGTTTACTTCTTGTGTTTCCCTCAGCGTTACGCACGAGCGGATAAGCGAGGAAAGCTGCCCCGCTGGATTCAGGAACACCTTACAGATGGAAGCCTAAATCTTACCATTGATGAGACTGTGCAGTTAGCCAAGCACTTTCTACGACAGATGGCCCAGCCCTTCAGACAGGTAACCACAATAACCTTCCTCAGCCTGTTCAATGATCTAAACCTCTCACGCTTAATGTGTGTTCATTCAATAAGTTGAGTTCAATTTTTGATCAATTTAAACCAGTTTAAATCGTACATATATACACAAAAAACAAAAGCGCAATGCTACGTTTACAGGGATGAGGTTGTGAGGTACATGTTTTTATTTATGTTGTATTAAGAGTCTTTGTGTCATGTTTGTGTGGCAGGAGGATCAGTTGGGTCTGTCCCTGCTGACCCTGGAACAACTGCAATCTGAGGACATGCTTCAGAAAATTGCTCAGATCGCTCAACAAGCCTGAGGTCTCTGGTCTGGGAGATGCGTATATATGTATTCTTTAATATGGTGTTTTCTACAACAAGAAGCATTAATAAATGCTGTTCTTTAGCCCGTGTTGTTCTTTACTGTTTGAAGAGAAACATGCTGTCTCAAAACCAGCTGCAGAGGGCACACAAGCACACTGAATTAAGGGGAAACTACTGGAGGTCACCAGGAGTTGCATACCAGCTATTGATTGGGCCGTATCAGCTGTCAACCACCTAATTATCTGAAAACACTTTTTACACATATTGATTTTAACAGAGGTAGAACAATTTTATTTGGTTCATCAGCAACGTTCAGTATATAAATATACTCCCTAAGCTCACGGAATCTGTAACATGATTCAACAATATAGAATGTACAGCTGTTTAGATTATATAACAGCTCATTTGATGTCTAACCTCTCAGTAACTACATCCACTAGCAAGATTCAAGTTATATACTATATATTAGCCGTGTACCCTGAAATTCTGCACATGTAAAATCCTTCCTATTGTGTTGAGAAGTGCTTAAACTAAAGCAACAGCACAGCATGCATAAATATAAAGTACATGTGCTTGAAATTGAAAAATCAAAAGTCCCTTATATTATAGGCACAAGTATGTACCACAATTGGTTGACATTACCTCAGAAACATACAAATTAGTATAAAAAACAGCATGTCTTACAATCATCTTGGAATGTAACATCATGGATTACCATTAGGAATTTTTGAGTTAAAGGCACAATATGTAAGATTTTTTTATTGAAATATCCAAAAACCACTAGAACAGTGTTATATATTTTGCTGACTTGTGTACTTACATTATCCCAAATGTTTCGAAGAATGTTTAAATCCAGAGAAATAAGCAATTTTAACTAGTGACACGGACCGTTTCCATAGTGTCATTGTGTCGCCTGCCAATGACGTCATAACCCCTCGATTTCCGGTTTTGTTTTGTAGAAAACATGGAAACACCAAAGACGCTTTAATATGTTGTATGTTTTAATAGACCGGTGACAACCGCACAGAGTAGCATTATGACAGAACGTTCAAATGTATCTAGTATGATAAAACAGCGCTGCTTTTTTTTCCACATCCGCACGACCGGAAGGAGCGGAAGCGGTCGACTGTGGCATAATAAAAGCTCTGCTGCTTTCGAGTCGATTGCATCGGCTGTGGGGATGAAGACGACAACTCCCATGATTCCACACTCAGTCACGGCATCATCAAACTACGCCTTTGTCTATTTGTTTATTTTGAATACACACCCTCTAGCGGCGAAAATTACATATTGTGCCTTTAAGAGCATTTAGAAGCCATTTGAAGATTTAAAGTGATAGTTACCCCAAAAATGAAAATTCTGTCATTAATTACTCACCCTCATGTTGTTCCAAACAAGACCTTCATTCATCTTCGAAACGCAAATTTTGATATTTTTGATGAAATCCGAGAGCTTTCTGACCCTGCAAAGAATTGTTGAATAAAGTCGTTTTTGTTTTCTCTGTGCACGAAAAGTATTCTCAAAGCTTCATAACATTATGGTTGAACTACTGTTCACATGGACTGTTTTAACAATGTCCTTACTACCTTTCTGGGCCTGGGAACGTTTCAGTTGCATTGCTGTCTAAGCAGGGTCAGAAAGCTCTCGGATTTCATCAAAAATATTTTAATTTGTGTTCTGAAGATGAACGAAGGTCTTGCGGGGGTGCGTAATTAATGACAGAATTTAAATTTTTTTCACTATCAGAATCAGAATCAGAATCAGAAGAGCTTTATTACCAAGTATCCCTATCCCTTAAGTGCAAATTGTTCAATTCCAATACTATAATTCTATTGGATGGTAGTGTGAGGACATGGAATGTATGTCACATATTGCTACAATATTCTAAGTAAACAGTGGTAAGGTGCAGTCACATAAGTAAAATTTTGGAGAAATTATGCAGGCAAAAAAATGTCCATTGTCAATAATGTAGCAATGAATTAGGCTTACAAAATAGAGACTTTCACAACAAAGGCTTTCTGTTGGTCAATGTAGCAAATTTGCGCGACCAACCTGAACATGAGTGAAACCTAAATAAACAAAAGTCCTGAGTGCATGGATTCCGATTGAAATGACTGGATTTTGCCTGCAAAATTCTGCTGAGCAATAAAATGTGATCGCACTTTTATTAAAAAAACTGCACCCTGCCTAATGGTCCTATCTTTGAAATGCAATAAATCATACATTTCTGTGACATTTTATATTGCAACAGGCTTTTAAAAATGAGTAGACTGAACTGATTTTACGGTGTAAAAAATATTTTTGTAAAGACAAAGTGTGCTCTCCTTTTCCAGAAGCACTTTGACAGACTGCTGTGAAGTGTGTGCATTCATCGTCACATACTATTCCTCATATTATTGTCAAATATGACCTTTGCAGTCATTACAGACCAGCCAGATGTGAGGCTGACATCTCTGCATCAGTCCTGATGTCATATGGCATGTCTGAAAGTTAGCTGTCACCGCTCAGAGATGCACGGCGTGCTAAACTCTGCGTGCTTGAACTCAGTCCCCGTGCATCTGTCAGCCTATTGGGCTTCTGAAAAGACAAAATAGACTTTCATTATCCGATAACCATTCTCAATCACCATCTGTTAACTAATTCCTGATTACTGTAAAAGTATGCATCACCCTTCAAAAGTTTGGGTCCACTGAGAAGAAAATACTTTTATTCAGCAATTATACATTAAATTGATTCATATAAAGTTCAAAAGAACAGCATTTATTTGATATAGTAATCTTTTGTAATATTATAAATGTCTTTACTGTCACTTTTGATCAAAGAATCCTGAAAAAAATGTATCAGTTTCCACCAGAAATATATAGCAGCACAACTGTCTTCAACAATGATAATAATACGAAATGTTTATTAAGCACCAAATCAGCATATTAGAATGATATCTGAAGGATCCTATATTCAAATAGAAAACATTATAAATCATATTATTTCACAATATAAAATTTTACTGTATCAAAATAAATGATCAAATACTTGCTCAAATAAATGCAGTCTTAGTGAATATAAGATACTTGAGCAAATTTGAAAGCAAAGACTCAACACTTACCATAGCAGCCTCTTGACTTTCTTTGAGACCCACATTAAGCACATTTAGAGAATTGGCTCTCTTCATCCTGTTTAAAAATAAATGAGTAGTTAAAAATACTGCTCTCTTCTACATCAAAAGTGACGAGAGCTGAACAATAAGCAGAATATCATTACCCAGCAGCTCGAGGGGCTGTTTCCTGTGTTCCAACTCCTTTAAGTTTCCGAACAAGCTTCTCACTGCTTCGTCTTATAGATTCCCGGAGCTTGGTGAACGATCCACTGCGCTTCAGACTTCCCAGACCATCCTACACACACACACACGCGCGCGTGAAAAAGTACATTAAAAGGCTATTTCTCCTAATAGAACATGCATATTTGGATTGAAAACATACCTGTCTAGAGCTTCCCTCCTCTGTATGTATCCAAACCGGCCGTCCGTCCCCTATATATGCATGTGAAAATATTAATTTACTACTGGACAAGTATGCTTAGCAGGTCAAACTACGGTGTCTAAAAATTCCTCTGAAGGCAGAAGTCAAATTGATTTTACCCTCCACTGAGCCAAACTCCTTCTCATGAGCACGAGTCAGAATCTCTTTATAAAGAGCCTCAGCTTGCCTGTATTTCCCCTGCTTGAGATAACAGGAGGCCTGAAGGGCAAATTAATGGTATATTATATAACATGCATAATATACTACTGCTACCATTATTAAAAAAACACTATCATTTGACATGATACTCATTTCCTATCCTGACCAGGTTGTTCTTGGTCTTGGCCACGTTGGCATCGTCTGGACCCAACTGGCTCTGGTAAATGTGCAGCGCACGTTCATAGTACTGCTCCACCTCCTGGTATTTGCCCTGGTTCTGGCATAGGAGGGCTAAGTTATTCAGCTGCTTGGCTACATCAGGGTGATCTGTCCCAAGCACCTGCCAACAGACAAAGATAGGCAAGATATTTCATCTAGACCAGTGGTTCTCAACCTTTTTGACTCCAAGGCCACAACAATATTTAAAGGCTCCATGACTTTTCCAGTTGTCCTTGATTTACTGGATAAGGATAAAATCATTATAACATGATGATTTGCTACTCAAGAAACATTTCTTGTTATTATCAATGTTGTGTTTGTGCAAACCAGGATATTTTGATGAACAGAACATTTGAAGAATAGCATTTATTTGAAATAGATTTTTTTTTTACATATGTAATGTAAAAGCCTTTGATCAATTTAATGCATCCTTGCTAAATGAAATTATTTTCTTTCAAGAAAAACAAAACATCTCACTGATAGGTAAGTTGATTTGATCTGATAGCTGTTATAGAAAGGACAGGTGGGAAAACCACTCACTCTTTTTGTGTCAGTACCTTTTCTCTGATCTCCAGAGCTCTTTTACACAGCGGCTCTGCCTCTTTATACTTCCCTCTTTTTCCATACAACACAGCCAGATTATTCAGAGTAGCTGCCACCTACAGACACAAACATAAACTCAAGGAAAGGGACCTAATGTATATAGATTGCATATGTGACTATTGACTTTTCAGTGAAACACAAAAAGAAAAAACGAGCAAAGCAAACTATAACAGTAACACATTCCATCTTCAAACAGTACATACTGCTGGATGGTCAATGCCTAATGTCTTCTCGCGGATAGCCAATGCATCATTCAGGAGATTGGCCGCTTCCTTGTATTTGTTTTGATCCCTGTATAGCATAATATTAATGTTATTTAATAAGATTAGAATGTAATACAGATTAATAATTATATTTACACTTAAGGTTAAATGAATGTGTGACCTGTACACTAAAGCCAGGATATTGAGCATGGTAGCAACATCAGGATGGCTGTGGCCTGAGGATTTCTCCAGGTCCTCCAGAGCTTGCTTGCAGAGCGGCACGGCCACCTCATAGCGGCCCTGAGAGGCGTACTGGATCACCAGGTTGTGGAGAGTTCGGAGGCGGGCAGGGATCTCATATCCTCCCTGCTGGGCAGCAGCAGCAGCACTACTGTGCGGCTGAGACACTGCAAATACAAGAGTAGAGCTGAGACACATGCACACATGCTCCGATAGATTGAGCTGCGGTGATCATGAGTTCAAACCAATCTTGTGACATTTCTCAAGTTCCTGATTTTTGAAATTCTAGTTGTGGTTATAGTAAATCCTAACTGTGGTTGAAACTTAACACTGTCCTAAACCTTGCGTTAACCAAACCCTTGCTTGCTCTAACAGCTGACATGGCAAAAACTCAGTAAACAAATGTGTAAAGGAACAGCTGTGGTCTGTGAGGAGTGCCGTACTGTGTGATTGCTCCTCTTCTTCAGAAGGAAAGAGATCATCAAGGGACCCCTTCCCTGAAGTAGAATCTTTATCCTCCTGTAAGAAACAAACAGCATGAGCATGTCATGAGTTTACGATTTAATATTTTGAATAGCCTTTAGACCAGTGGTGCCCAATCATACAGTTTTTGAAATCACAATATGAATCATGGTTAATCTAATAAATCATGGTTAATTTAATTTATCAATACTCCTAGATTTTGTTAATAAAAAAAGTTTGAAATCAAGCATCTTTGTCATAACTACTGTAGAAATACGGAAATATCTTTGATTATATTGGGGTCAGTGGTGGGCCTTCAAGTCAAAAAGGTGGGTGTTTTTTTTTTTTTTTTACTTTTGGTACTTTTATGTCCCAAGTGTTGATTTTTCAGATCTCAACCTTTTTTTTTTTCTTGTTATATGAAGGTCAGACTGACTTTATGTCATGCCATGCATTTATTTTTCCTTATTAAATGCCATTTTGTATGGATGGCATTGTTTTAGCATTGTGTCAAGCACAGACATTAGATAAAATATGAAAATCCATCATGAAAATATGAATTACATTGTTTAAAACTATGATAATCCAAATAGAAAAGAAAAAAAAAGAAAAGAAAACAGATAGAATAGAAAAAGAATAGAGCAAGCTAGTGTTAGAGGCCTTTTTTGCTTTTGTTAATTGTATAACAAATAAAAAGAAAGCAAATAGATAGAATACAAAAAGATTAGAAAAGCTAGTGTTTTTTTTAAAGAAAACAAGCAGTAAATTAATAGAGTGCAAGTTTTTTTTTTTTAAATAATAGAATTAGAATAGAGAGTGCTAGAGTTAGAGGGTCAAAAAAAGATGGAAGAGATGTTATATAGATCTTACACAAATTGTGATTGTCCCACTGCAAAAAAATTAAATATATATATTTATTTATTTAAAATTATTTATCAGACATAACCGCAGCAAAAAATATGCCTGAGATGAAATATGAGATAAAATAAATGAAAGAAAATCAAGAAAAAACAATCAAGGTTAATATCACACAGAATATTGTTTCCAATCAATATGTTATTTTGTCAAATATTATTTAATTGTGTGCATTTAATTGTTTAAGCATACCAGCTGTTGAAAGACCTGACCAACACAATGCAAGAGTGAACACAAGCCATACAAGACAAGGACGGTAATTGTCTGACTGAAGAACAGGACATCCTAAAGAGGTGGACTGAGTACTGCTCAGAGCTGTACAGCTATGAAACCACAGGAGATCCAGAGGTACTGAATGTCCCTCCAGCAACCGACAATGACAACTACCCCATCCTTCGCACAGAAGTGGAAGAAGCAATGAAATCTCTTAAGAAGGGGAAGTCGGCGGGAGTGGATAACGTCCCTGCGGAGCTCATGCAAGCAGGGGGAGATGCCATGATAGGTGCTCTACTGAATATCTGCAACAAGATCTGGCAGACAGGAGAATGGCCCAAACCATGGACCCAGTCTCTCATCATCATCCTCCCTAAGAAAGGAAATCTACAACTTTGCCAGAATTATCGTACCATCAGCCTTATAAGCCACCCAAGCAAGGTCATGCTAAAGATCCTACTGAATCGATTGAAGCCGCAAACGGACAAGATCATCGCTGAAGAACAAGCGGGCTTCAGACAAGGGAAGCAAACAGAGCAGATCTTCAACCTTAGGATAATATGTGAGAGATACCTACAACATCAACAAAACTTTTTTTGTGGACTTCAAAAAGGCGTTCAACCTTAATAATACTGTAGAAATACCTGGAAGCTTTCGTTGCGGATGAAGGGTCCAAACCTGAGATACTCGCCAGGATCGCCCAGACCACAGCGGCACTGACAAAATTAAAGACCATCTGGAGTGACAGGAACATAGCCCTCAGCTCAAAGATCAGACTGATGCGCTCCCTAGTCATGTCCATATTTTTATATGCCTGTGAGATTTGGACACTAACAGCTGAACTGGAAAGGAAAGTTCAGGTCATGGAGATGAGATGCTTCAGAAAACTCCTCGGCATCTTCTACAGAAATCACATCTCCAACGAAGAAGTACATGACAGAATTCGGCGGACCATTGGGCCATATGATGACCTCCTGACTGTGGTGAAAAAATGGAAGCTGAGGTGGTACAGCCATTTAATAAGGTCATCAGGACTTGCGAAGACAGTCCTGCAGGGCACAGTGCCAGGAGGGAGGAAGAGAAAGAGATGGGAAAACAACATTCAGGAGTGGACAGGCCTGATGCTGGGCGAGACCTTGAGAAAAGCTGAGAAGAGGGAGGAATGGAAGAAGCTGGTTGCCAGAGCATCTGTGGCGCCCCAACAGTCAACCAGACTAAGGGACAGGTGAAGGTGGGTGAAGGTGATTTAATTGCTAGCCATTTTCTTACAAAAACCCACATCCACAAAGCTAGTCTAGAACAAACGTTTAGCCTATAAACCTAAATGTTTTAACCATATGAATGTTTTCAAGATGAACCCTTACCATAGGTGGCTCTTCGTGGTCGTACTTGCGGATGCTGCTCATGAACTGCAGGTGTCTGTTCTGCTCCTCTAAAGTAACCACTTCCTGTTCCCGCTCCTGTAGCTGCTGCTGGGCCCGGGCCAGCTCGTCCCTTAGCCACTGGTTCTCCTGGCACAACCTCCGCACCTGAGCACGCAACTTCTGCTTCTCTGCCTCCAAAGAGCCCAGGTGTGCTGACAGCGCCATCATCACCTGGATGAGCGGGAAACAGACAGCTAGGGTGAGTGAAAAGGCTCTTAATGAGACAGCAAGTGAATGAAGTTGACTGCGCCGCTCACTTGCGCCTCTCCTAGGCCCAGTTCAATCCTCTCCAGAGACTCTAAGATGATGTTGGTCTTCTCCTGCTCCAGACTAGCGCTCTCGCTGGGCGTCTGACTCTGGAGCGTTTCCTGCAGGCTGTCCAGCAGCGTGCGGTTCTCTCCACGCAGAGCCTCCAGCCCCGCGATCACCTGCTGGGTGCTGCATAAGATTTCCTCCCCTGACAACATGTCTGACATTCAAGACCCTAGGGAGGAAAATATACATTTGGTATTAACATGCATTTAGTGTGCAAATTGACCAGGACTCTAGGGAATTGTTCACATAGCATGCAGGAGTGCATTATAACATTCACACGTTTTCTGGGTTACTATATTGAGTATGTGTTTTGATGATGCAAATGATTATTCAAAGTGGTAAACTGACATATAGTTCATGACAAAAGTTTTTTTTTGAGCATGCATGCAATAAATTGATCAAAAGTGAGAGACATTTATAATGTTATAAAATTTCAAATAAATGCTGTTCTTTTAAACTTCCTATTTTAAAGTATCATGAAACAATGTATCACATCTTTCACAAATATATAAAGCAGCACAACTGTTTTTAAAGGTGTCATATGATGCGATTTCAATTTTTCCCTTCTCTTTAAAGTGTTACAAGCTCTTGGTGCATAAAGAAGATCTGTAAAGTTGCAAAGACTAAAGTCTCAAATCCAAAGAGATATTCTTTATAAAAGTTAAGAGTCAGCCACACCTACCTAAAACGGCTCGTTCGAACACGCCCCCACGTCACGATGTGGGAAGACCTTTAACATTGGTAATAATAAGAAATGTTTCTTCAGCACCAAATCAACATTTTAGAATGATTTCTGAAGGATCCTGTTACACTGAAGACTATTGGCTGCTGAAAATTCAGCTTTGCCGTCACAGGAATAAATTACTTTTTAAATTATATTCAAATAAAAAACACTCATTTTAAATTGAACGATATCTCACAATATTACTGTTTTTACTGTTTTTGATTTTTAAAAAAAGCAAGCTTGGTGACTTTTTTCAAAAATATTCAAATATCTAACGGTAATTAACACATATCAGAAGGTAAACCCCAAAGTTCAGCTACTGTATAAACTGCTTAAATAGTCTGGATTTAAACAGATTTACTAAATAGAAAGTGGTTTGTGTGCTTGACGTCTTTTTTTCAAACATTCAGTGTAAATGGGTGTATTTTATATGTTGCTTCTGTGTCACAAAACATTTCTATCATTCCATTTTATCTCCATATTTTATAGTTTTTAAAATGCTATGTGCAGCATAAAAAAGTCTCAGCATTCAAATTATACTTGCAGAGCAACTTTTGCTAGACTTCAGCTACATAAACCTACAGTACACAGTCATTGTTGTTAATGTGGGTGGCATAATAAATGCACACTGCCAAGAAACACCGTAGGTGATATTTCAGGAAGAAAATTGTCTGGAAAATGTGTAGACAAACTCCACACAAACAACTACTAAACAAACAGAAAAGGGTCACAGGTAAAATTATATCACACGCAGTATAGAATATCAGAAACTAACCTTAATTCACACTAAAAGCAAGATCTCCTTTGGCTGCAAAGAAAGAAAAATCTTCATAATAAAGATGGGATATATGTTTTTTAGGAAGCACCAGAGAATACAACACAGAATACAACAATTACAAACTGGCAAAAATGTACAGGTAATTGTCTGCCAAGACATAATCCATTAATTTTACAGAAATTTAGTTAACTGTAAAATGAAGTGCAAAATTCTAAATACAGGTAAAACACCTGTAAAAAATAAAAACAGAAAATTACTTCATATTAATACAGTACATTGTGCCCTATTTTAGATAATAAGAGCATAGACTCCTGTTAGTGAGAAAAGTGAAGTGAATCTTGCCTGCCTGCCACTCCAACACATGAAAACAAGCAGAAGGGTTGCTAGGTAAGAATCAGTTTACAGGTAGGAACAGAGATCTCTCTGGGGAGGTAAAGGACTGAGCTAATGTTTACGCCAGACCAATGAGGTCATCAACAGGGATATATGGGTTTAAGCTTAATTAATTGAGAAAATAACAAAACAATGATACATGCATTAGGTACCAGTTTGGCATGCTTAAAGAGTGGAGTGGACCAATGGCTAACTTGCATGTTTTTTTGTTTTTTTTTTACTTGTGGCAAATTATTTTTCTCCATTTTGGCTGTTGCTGTTGAAAAGCCTTTCAGTTCTGATCTGTATAAAATTACATTGAATACCCTGGCTTAATGAATCCAGTTCAACACTTGAAGGATTCCCCATAAAAGTGTCATAAATGTGTTCATATGACTAGTGTGGTATATTCCAAATCTTCTCATTCAAAATTTCAGCGAATAACAACTTAAACTTAAGTCTGTTTGCTACAAAAGTTATTGTATGGCTTTAGAAGACTTGGAACACAGAACAGCAGGAGTCACATTCTGTTTGGAGCTTGACAGCAGTCAATCATTATTTACTGTCAGTATATTGAAAAGAATGCACAAGAATCCACAAACTTCATTGAAGAAAAAAGGTCGTACACATTTGGAGGTTTGGCTTGACATGAGGGTGAGTAAATAATGACAAAAATGATCTATTTGATCTGTCAATTGAATAGTAAAGTGTTAATTCTCTCATGATGCTGAATCGTCTATTTCCAGACACGTGTTGTGTAAACAAAGAATTGTTTTAAGTACAGACATATATTTACAGACAAATATAAGAGATATATAGAAGAGCTAAATAGCTATAGGGAAAATATTATTAGATATCACGAAAATAAATAAACCCGTTTGAATAAAATTTACATTGTGACAATTAAGCTGGCCAACCTAAAATGAATGAATATCTCCTATAATACACAAACAATGACACCCTATGATGGGTAGACCTCTTTAAAAGTGATTTTTACTGACGATAATTGTTAAACATGCTGTCTTTCACCAGATTAGCAGTTGTAACGAAGGCTAATTCAGGAAAAACAAACAGTGACAACAAACGAGAGTGTAATAGTCTATTAAACCGCATTGTAAAGCGTTTTATTCTCCCAGGTCATATAAAGAGTCTGTTGGCCAGTGAGTGTTAGCAGCTAATATTTATTTACCTGCAGTAACTCGGACAAGTGGCCACGACGCGGAACTTATAACCAGACAATTCCGACTAAAACAATCCACATCACATCTTTATTTCCTTGATGTAGTCGCGATTAATGGATGTAACAGCCAAGCAGAGCCTCGGTCGCGGTCATTCACTCACCTGTTGTTGAATTAACAGCGCTTACCTGATCCGTCCGTTCATTTACCGCGACTGCGCCGTGAGCTGCCTGCGCGACCACAGGCCACCTATCTGCCGCAGCTCAGAACTGCGCCTAATGGAGCATTACCACATCAACAAATACATGAGGCGTGCACACTAATGCTTTTTTATTGGAGGGTGTCATGATGACTAATTACAAATATACTTGAATCAGATATGCAATTGAAGAGTTCAGATGCAAAAGCCTCTAAGCGCCGTTTGAAATTTTCTTCTAAAATTAGTTTTTTTTTTTTTTTTTTTAAATAAGGCTCCTATGTGTAGGTTCAGTAATTTCACTTTAATGGCAATGAATAGGTTCTTTTCAGCTTTTGCATCTGAACTCTTCAATTAAAATGTAGTTTATTCTTAATAATTTCAATTGGCTCAAATTTAGAAAAGTAGGCCTAACCATCTGCAATGCAGCTCCATAAAAAAAAGACTGTAAACGGTTTGAGAAAGCATTAGATGTAGTTTTACCATAAAATACTGTCACATTTTTTGTAATTAAAAACTCTGAATTACCATATAATTTATGCTGAAAAACAGGAAAGGGACACGGTTATATTTTAATATCGTTATCAGTAATGTATATTATTTAGTTGATTATTTTAGTGTCATGTGTGTTGTTTTCTGCCCATGTTTTATGGACATCTTGGAATTGCCATGAACTCCTTATGTGCATTTCTATTTTACCACCTGTATTATCATGATAGACAGGAGTACATTTTATGGTAAAAAGCAGATTTTAGTTCAAGTAGATTGCTATATTGACATTGTATCACTAAAAAGTACAGGCACCAACATACCATCCCATAATAGCCTGGTGGAAACATTGGCACAGTATTTTTATTTTTATTTTTTAGTAATTAATTAATTAATTAATTTTTTTGAGTGATTATTATAAATAAGTCAGTGTTTGTAAATAGTTCAGTTATGATTACAAAGCCTCACATTTCAAGTGACATTTAATTAGAATGACTTGACTGCTTCACTAATGACAGCATTAGTGAGGCAGCCCACTTTTATTGTGAAAATATAGAATAAAAAATAAGAGTTGCCTACCTAGACAGCATTTTAGGACATTGTGCATATGTAATGATGACAAGCTGCTTCTTTTATCAATGCTTAGCAACAAAAACATTACACATTACTTGCTGCAAATGCAAAGTAAATGTAAATCTGTTACATCAGACAGTCACAAATCATTCTAGATGGCCTCTATGTTGGACATGCATTGGGAGGAGTCTCTGTGATGCCACATTGGCATAGTTTCAATAAAGCTGCTTAGGGTGAGTTGGGGTAAGAGGGAGGGGGTGTTGTCTGGGTGTGTAAAATAAGCAGCATTAGCTTCGGACCCATCAGACAGGCTTAACTTAACGATAGGAACCATGCAGATCAGGATGCATCTAGGAATCGTCTTTGGTTTAACATAGAGCGTGAAGAACTGAAAGAGAGGGTTGTGTTGCAGAATGCAACTGAAAAAGGAATAATGGTGACACTGGCACACTTTGCTGCATGGAAAGAGTAAAACCAGTGTGTGATTTAGGAAGAAAAATTAGTGCAGGGATATAAAGTGGAAGGAGCGTGATAGCAACTGTGAGCAGATATATGAGACTGTGATTAATGGTTCAGCTGCTAGAAGAGCCAGGGGCAGATCCACTCCCAATAAGGGCAGCTTGGCTGGGCCAGTGCAGGGCAATGTTCTCAAACAACGAGAGAGCTAATCTATATCTCTAAATGTGATGAGGCCAAAGTCAATAGAACCACTAAAACCCCCTTTTTATCTCTCTCTCTCTCTCTCTGTTGTCTCTGCTGAACCACACTTAACAGTTTACGTGGCACTACTGAATTCAATTTGTATGTCAGGACACTCCTGTCTGAAACTGTCAGTAAGATGCAAATTCAAGATATCTACCAAATTCAGCGAATTGTTAGTTGCAGTGCCTTTCCAATTATAACTCTCAAAAAAAAAAAAAAAAAAAAAATTGAACAATTACAGTTTTTTAAACTATTACCCCCATTCTTAAATACATGGTTATAGACTTGCAAATTAGCAGTAGGGATGCACTGTACTGTTATTAATCATTTATATAATTTGAATAGATAATTCCACTAATTGTGATAATATCACTTAGTTTCACTTTGTCTTATGATAAATGGCACATTCTTGGGAAAAAATAACAATTTCTCAAATTTAGAAAAGTAGGCCTAACCATCTGCAATGCAGCTCCATAAAAAAAAGACTGTAAACGGTTTGAGAAAGCATTAGATGTAGTTTTACCATAAAATACTGTCACATTTTTTGTAATTAAAAACTCTGAATTACCATATAATTTATGCTGAAAAACAGGAAAGGGACACGGTTATATTTTAATATCGTTATCAGTAATGTATATTATTTAGTTGATTATTTTAGTGTCATGTGTGTTGTTTTCTGCCCATGTTTTATGGACATCTTGGAATTGCCATGAACTCCTTATGTGCATTTCTATTTTACCACCTGTATTATCATGATAGACAGGAGTACATTTTATGGTAAAAAGCAGATTTTAGTTCAAGTAGATTGCTATATTGACATTGTATCACTAAAAAGTACAGGCACCAACATACCATCCCATAATAGCCTGGTGGAAACATTGGCACAGTATTTTTATTTTTATTTTTTAGTAATTAATTAATTAATTAATTTTTTTGAGTGATTATTATAAATAAGTCAGTGTTTGTAAATAGTTCAGTTATGATTACAAAGCCTCACATTTCAAGTGACATTTAATTAGAATGACTTGACTGCTTCACTAATGACAGCATTAGTGAGGCAGCCCACTTTTATTGTGAAAATATAGAATAAAAAATAAGAGTTGCCTACCTAGACAGCATTTTAGGACATTGTGCATATGTAATGATGACAAGCTGCTTCTTTTATCAATGCTTAGCAACAAAAACATTACACATTACTTGCTGCAAATGCAAAGTAAATGTAAATCTGTTACATCAGACAGTCACAAATCATTCTAGATGGCCTCTATGTTGGACATGCATTGGGAGGAGTCTCTGTGATGCCACATTGGCATAGTTTCAATAAAGCTGCTTAGGGTGAGTTGGGGTAAGAGGGAGGGGGTGTTGTCTGGGTGTGTAAAATAAGCAGCATTAGCTTCGGACCCATCAGACAGGCTTAACTTAACGATAGGAACCATGCAGATCAGGATGCATCTAGGAATCGTCTTTGGTTTAACATAGAGCGTGAAGAACTGAAAGAGAGGGTTGTGTTGCAGAATGCAACTGAAAAAGGAATAATGGTGACACTGGCACACTTTGCTGCATGGAAAGAGTAAAACCAGTGTGTGATTTAGGAAGAAAAATTAGTGCAGGGATATAAAGTGGAAGGAGCGTGATAGCAACTGTGAGCAGATATATGAGACTGTGATTAATGGTTCAGCTGCTAGAAGAGCCAGGGGCAGATCCACTCCCAATAAGGGCAGCTTGGCTGGGCCAGTGCAGGGCAATGTTCTCAAACAACGAGAGAGCTAATCTATATCTCTAAATGTGATGAGGCCAAAGTCAATAGAACCACTAAAACCCCCTTTTTATCTCTCTCTCTCTCTCTCTGTTGTCTCTGCTGAACCACACTTAACAGTTTACGTGGCACTACTGAATTCAATTTGTATGTCAGGACACTCCTGTCTGAAACTGTCAGTAAGATGCAAATTCAAGATATCTACCAAATTCAGCGAATTGTTAGTTGCAGTGCCTTTCCAATTATAACTCTCAAAAAAAAAAAAAAAAAAAAAAATTGAACAATTACAGTTTTTTAAACTATTACCCCCATTCTTAAATACATGGTTATAGACTTGCAAATTAGCAGTAGGGATGCACTGTACTGTTATTAATCATTTATATAATTTGAATAGATAATTCCACTAATTGTGATAATATCACTTAGTTTCACTTTGTCTTATGATAAATGGCACATTCTTGGGAAAAAATAACAATTTATAACATTTCTGTCATTCTGTCGAAACATGTTTTTGTCCCTGCAAAAAATAGCTAATAACAGAATTTATACAAAATTGAATGTTTTTACATATTCACATTTATCTGTAAATATAATATAATTAATATTAATAATAAATAATATTATAATATATACAACATATTATTACATACTAAAATATAATTTTAATAATATATAACAATATATTCAGGGGGCTTTTTTTTTTTTCCGACAAAACAGCAAGGCACTGTTTTTTTTTTTTTTAGTCAACTTTAAGAGGCCTGTGATGTAAACAATGAAATACTCATAGAGACACATATGAAGAAGGATAAACCATTATTTTTAAAGGAAGAATTGTCAGAGCCCAAACAGATTGAAACAGGTGAGGGATGCGAAGAATGTTTTATATATAAAAAAATCCATATAGATAGTGAAAGCATGATATCAAGCAAAAATTAAATAATGTAATCAAGTTTTTTAATAAATCCAAATATATAATGCCAATACACGCAGATGTGGAAATAAGCTGATATTCCAATGAAAATAAACGGTTACACTTTTTTTTAAGGTGTTCTTGTTACAGTGTATTTATACATTTAAGTACTGTAATGAGGATTCAGTGACGTTGGGATCCATGTGCAGCTTTATTAACAATCAGACAGGCAGCCCACATACCTGGGACTGAGCTTTTTGCAAGGGAGCCGCAGACGAAGATCACGGGTAGACAGCCAGACCCACTGACCCGGCTGATAGTTGGGGTTGGCACGCCGACGACGATCAGCTTGTTCCCTTGTTCGCCGAACGGCCCGTTGAAGGTGGACATGTGCCTCATTCCAGGTCTCCTCGCTGCGAGTAAGTGAGATTAGGTGGGCTTTTGGCGTGGTGGATCGGTGGCTTGGGCCTCTGTGATCTCCGTCATGATATCCCATTGTATGGGAGCGAGAACCAGGGTAGAAGGGATGATGGATTCACAGGAGGGTGGTTGCAAGGATGACTCATAAAGTCTTGACAGAGCGTCTGCTTTCGTGTTCTGTGTGCCTGGGCGCTGAGTAATATTAATTAACAGCATGTATTTACTATAGGGTTTGGTTTAGGGTTATTGCATGTAATTATGCATAACTTTGTGCTAATACTATAGTAATTACATGTAACGTGTAACAAGGACACCTTAAAATAAAGTGGTACCAAATATACACTTAACAGAGTTCAATATATCAAGTAATGTGACATTCTTTTTAATTATACCAATAGTCAAAGGGAAAAAAAATAGTGTCTTTCCTAAGAATGAGGCACAATGTATTTGTTTTAGACAAGCACCATTCATTAAAGTATAAATGACTGAAGATGGCCAGAGGTGGAGAGGCTTTAGTCTAAGCAGACAGGTTATGGGGGAGCAGTGCTAAGCACAGAGAATGCAATGAACATGTCTGCGTGAAGCCCCCCCCCCAACACCCCAGGTGACGCTCACAGCACAGCTGTTAATCTAGCAGTTATAGCTGTGCTTTCAAGGAGTTCTGGAAAAGTGCATGTAGAGTCGATGGGTGTCTGTTAGTAAGTGTATGGACTGACTGTATAGAAATGGGATATGTAACACAAAACAGAGCCAGCAAAGTGTCAGTATATGAATCAAATGCTTAATGACCTTTCCACTGACAGTAAAAGCAAAGCGAGAACATATCTGCCACCTTAGCACTAAACCATATGACTCAATTTCAAGTTATCCAGCAATGTTTTTTTCACAGAGATGTACAGAAAACAAATAAACGGATCGTCTCAGTGTGGAGGGCTCCTGTGCGTAAGGATAAATCCTCTGTGATGAACTGAATCCGGCCGGAACCCAGAGGACGCCCGTCTAACGCTGCCACTGCCAAACGAGATTCACATGGAACAAGGGGAATTTTATGAGTCTTGGAGAATTCAGAATCAATGAAATTTCCTGCTGCCCCAGAATCTATAAGAGCTGTAGTGTCAATAAGCTCCCCATTAACCCTTAAAGTAACTGGTATTTGTAATACAGTAACTAGACTGGAAGTCTGACTCA